CCTCTGACTTTAAACACCACCATTGAATAGGAAAGCAATCCTTTTGTTGAAGATAATTAAAAAGCAGTAAAGTAAAAGGCACTGTAAAGAAATAGGTAAATCCAATTAGGTAGGAAGATAAGCAGGAACAAAGTAGTCCAGAATAATAGTCCAGCAAAGTCCATGAAACAAAGGCAAAACTTCTCTAATAAAATAAAATAAAAACCAGGAAACATGAATCCAAGGCATCAATATAAAATCATAGAATCCAATAATCAAAACCATGAAACAAAAGGAACTTAAACATAAATCTTTCAAGCAAGGCTTCCATGAATCAAGGATGAGATCTTGACTTGATTCCAAACAATGCTTCATCTGACTACATTCCCTGTACTTGGAACTTTTATCCCCTCGTTAAGCTATCCCAAGCACTCAGAAATTGGTTTTGCTTTAGCTGAGATTTTCTTATCTTCATCTGTCTGAGCCTGGCAGAACATCGAAGCCACTGTTCAGCTTTTCTGTTTTGACTAATCTCCTCCCATCTATCTATTTGCTCATTAATTTCTGCAGCTGGGACAGGTGCCGACCTGTTTTCAAACCCCAAATCATGAGAACTCTGGTAATAATTCAGGGAGCACATCATCATCCCCACACCCTTCAGGGACATTCTCATGGGAAACTACACTTTGAACAGGAATCTTCTGGTCATTCTCTGCATCAATATTATTGACCAAACCACTGCTATCTTGAAACGCATTGACATCACTCCCCACATCCAAAGCACCCTGATCCTGAAACACAATTACAGGCTGAGCTCCAACATCCAGTGCATTGTGCAAGAAGTCTATTGTGTAGTGAAATCCTTAGGAGAAATCCAAGAAAATAGCAAAATTCTATCTGTGGTGGTGTCAGAATTATGACTTTTCTAGTCTATCACTCAAATGGGTATCCAAACAACCATGATGTGCATATTTAAAGGTAACGGTTTCCCCTGACATTAAGTCTAGTTGTGTCCGACTCTGGGGGGTGGTGCTCATCTCCATTTCTAAGCCGAAGAGCCAGTGTTGTCCATAGACGTCTCCCAGGTCATGTGGCCATCATGACTGCATGGAGTGCCGTTCCCGCCAAGGCGGTACCTATTGATCTACTCACATCTGCATGTTTTCAAACTGCTAGGTTGGCAGAAGCTGGGTCTAAAAGCAGGACTTCACCCCGCTCCTAGATTTGAACCGCCAACCTTTCGGTCAGCAAGTTCAGCAGCTCAGTGGTTTAACCCACTGTGCCACCTGGGGGCCTGAAGTGCATGTTAGAATCCAGGAAATTTGAAATGTGAAAGATAATATTAGACCTGGGCATTTCAGTTTCCTTTCATTTTCTCCAAACATACACACCATCTTCCCTCACTATGTGCAGCTTCCACATTAGAGAAGATCTCAGAAAGGTGACAGTCAGCAGTCACCCAACTTTTGATAGGAGGTGTCTAGACAAGATGGGCTACAATCTAACATAAGGCCGTGGCAGCCGGGAAATATTCAGTAACACTATGTAACAAAATTTGAAAAAAATGTCTGTTCCTGGTTTAAAAGTGTTATTTCCTGTTTAATTGTGTGGTACTGATTTTGAAGGTAGCTGTTCTACTCCAGAAACTTAATTTTTGTGGCTGACACAAACTATGTTGAATTGGTTGAGACTCAATGAGATATTCATGAAGAAACTAGCAAAATGTGCTGCAGGGTGTCCCACAAAAACAAAGTTTTTGCAGTTTAATAAACTTTTTACGGTACTATTCCATTATCCGAGTGAAGGCCAAAAGGTGGTGCTAGAGAGAGAAAGATAGTCCATTTAAGGCGGGGGGGGGGGTGTGTGTGTTAGGGAGTTAAACCACTTCCCCTTGATTTCCTGTTATTTCCCCCACCCATGTTCCCACTGTGGAAACAACCCTAGTTTATGAAATGGGAAGTGGAGAAGGGGGAATAACCAGCAAAAACGAGGGTCATGTTTTTTCTCCTTCAACTTCCCCCTCCCATTCAATGGACTATCCTTTTCTGCCTAGTCCCCCTTTTAGAGTCATAGAATCCTAGAGTTGGAAAACAAGTCATGGGCCATCCAGTCTGACCCTCTGCCAAGAAGCAGGAAAATCCCATTCAAAGCACCCCTGACAGATGGCCTGCCCTGATAATGGAACAGTACTCCTTTTCCATGTTTTAATGATAGAACTAATTAGGAAATGACACTTATAATCCAGGAACAAAAAAAAATGTGTTACATAGTGTAACCTAGACAATAGTAGTCAGAATAATAAAAAGGTTGGAATTACAAATGTGTAATGGAGTTCCCGGTGGCACAGCGGGTTAAACTGCTGAGCTGCTGAACTTTCTGACTTATAATCCAGGAACAAAAAATTGTGTTGCATAGTGTAACCAAAACAATAGTAGTCAGAATAATAAAAAGGTTGGAATTGCAAATGTGTAATGGAGTCCCCGGTGGCACAGCGGGTTAAACTGCTGAGCTGCTGAACTTGCTGACTGAAAGGCTGGCAGTTTGAATCCAGGGAGCTGGGTAAATTCCTGCTGTTAGCCCCATGTCCTGCCAACTTATCAATTCGAAATCATGCAAATGTGAGGAGATCAATAGGTACCGCTTCTGTGGGAAGGAAATTGTGCTCCATGCAGTCATGCTGGCCACATGACCTTGGAGGTGTCTAAGGACAATGCCAGCTCTTTGGTTTAGAAATGGAGATGAGCACCACCCCCAGAGTCGGACACAACTAGACTTAATGTCAGGGAGAAACCATTCATCTTGGAAGGGCTTCATCTTACCTACTTTTAAAAACAAACTCCCTTTCTCTTGTCACTCTCCAAAGGCAAAGTGAAGCAGTGAGGCTGGATGGTAAGCTGGCCTGCTCTCTAGTCCCAACCACTGGAGGCAACTGCAGTGTGTGATGATACATACAGCTTGACCCCCACTTATTTATTTATTGTGCCAGGTGCGAACCAAACAGTTGTATTGTATTTTTAAAACACACACACACAAAGTTTGCCAACTTGGCATTGTAATAAATGTCCTTTTACCAGAAGCTGGCCACTTGGAGTGCCTCTGGTGTTGATATAAGAAGGTCCTCCATTCCGCATGTGGCAGGGCTCAGGTTGCATTTTTTCACTCAGAAATTAGACAAGAACAAAAACATCAAAGATTGGGGGGGGGGGGGAATGATAAAATACATGATAGTTGCCGCCCAAGCAACTGTGGCCTTGGGGTGGAAAGACCATAGAAAGTGGGAAGTTAAAAAATGGTATGGTTACCTAGCAGACTTTATGCTTCAGGACTACATCTCTGAAAGAAAAGCTAAATATACATCATGCCGTATCAAGATGACCTGGGTTCAGAAATGGGGAAGACTGATAGAAATAGTCGAAGGAAAAGAAAGATATAAAGAGCTCAACCATTCTCTTTACATGATTGTTCAATTAAATTAATATTTGAATGAAGACAAGTACTGTTTCCAGAGGTGGGGGTGGGGGGAGGGGGAGACGGGTGTAAAATTGATAGACACAAGTGGGAGATAAAGGCGGAATAGGTAAGGATAAGAACACTATGAAAACAATATTTGATATGTATTCAATATGTACTTCAATATTTGAAAAGGTGATGGATTGTGATATTATTCTACCTGTGTCAGCAATAATAATAATAATAATAATAATAATAATAATAACAACAACGACACAATATGAGGATTTAAAGATCGAACTGCAAAGACTCTGGCACAAAACAGTTAAGGTGGTCCCAGTGGTGATCGGCACACCTAAAGACCTTGGCCTGCACTTAAACACAATTGGCACTGAAAAAATTAGCATCTGCCAGCTCCAGAAGGCCACCTTACTGGGATTTGCACGCATTATTCACCAAGACATCACACAGTCCTAGACACTTGGGAAGCATCCGACATGTGATCCAATACAACAGCCAGCAGTGTGTCTGCTGTGGACTTATCTTGTTGTGTTTCTAATAATAATAATAATAATAATAATAACTGCAAAGACTCTGGCACAAGCCAGTCAAGGTGGTCCCAGTGGTGATCAGCACACTGGGTGCAGTGCCTAAAGATCTTGGCCTGCACTTAAACACAATTGGTGCTGACAAGATTACCATCTGCCAGCTGTAGAAGGCCACCTTAGGTGGATCTGCACGCATTATTTGCCGCAATATCACACAGTCCTAGACACTTGGGAAGTGTCCGACATGTGATCCAATACAATAGCCAGCAGAGTGTCTGCTGTGGACTCATCTTGTTGTGTTTCAAATAAATAATAATAATAACAATAACAACAACAACAACTTGGGAAGTGTCTGATGTGTGATCCAATACAACAGCCAGCAGAGTGATCTGCTATGGACTCATCTTGTTGTGTTTCAAATATTAATATTATTAATAATAATAGGTTGCATTATAGTAGGTGGTCAGTGCTTTGCTCTTGAATGGCTGTGGAATTGTGGGTTTCCTCAAGACTTTGGACAACTACAGCTCCCAGGGTTCCATAGCATGAACCCATAACAGTTAAAGTAGGACCAAAACTGCATTGATTCCAGTGTAGATCAGGCATGGGCCAACTTGGGCCCTCCTTCTAGGTGTTTTGGACCGGCAGGCTGTTAGGAATGGTGGGAGTTGAAGCCCAAAACACCTGGAGGGAGGGCCCAAGTGTGCCCATGCCTGGTGTAGATGCCCCAGCCCTTTCTCTCTCTCCGAGAGCGCCCAAAGGAAAGCGGCCAGGGATCCCGACCCGAACCGGGGGCCGAAGAGGGCGATGGCGAGCCGGGCTCCTCCCTCCCTCCTTCTCCCTCCCTCCCTGACCGGTTATGGGTCGCCAGGAGCGGATCCCGGGCAGCCAGGAGGGCGGAGAAGCCAAAGGCACCGCTAGACTCTTTCCAAACGCCTGGGCTCCTTGGCTTCCCTCCTCGGCGCACAGGCAAACGTGGGATGGTGTGGTTCTGTTGAGAAAGAAAGTAGGAAGGCTACCCACCGAAACTTCTACTGGCCCTCGCCTCCTCCTGCTCCTCCTCCTCGTTCTTCCTCCTCGGGAGCCATGCAGAGGTGGGCGCGGGCCCCAGTCCAGATGCAGAGGGCAAAGGCAGCGGAGATGGGGTGAAGCTGCCGACGTTGTCAGCCCTTCGGGGCGAAGCAAGGAGGGAGGGAGGGAGGCGAGCCAGCCCCGGGCCCCACCCCCGGCCTGGCCCCGCCAATCCCCGCCGCTTCCTCTTCCTCGCGGCCAGCGACGCAGCCCGGTCAACCCGGGAAGGGAAGGGAAGGGAAAGGACAGACAGACAGAGGGAGGGGCCACGCCAAAGCAGGCCCGCTCTCTCCCCCAACGGGACTGGGATTACACTATGTAGCACATCCTCTATGTTCCTGGGTTAGAAATACATGTCATTTCCTAACTGGCTGTATTATAAAAAACATGGCAAAAGTTTCTTTACAACTTTGTTTCCTCGGCACATTCCTGCAGCACTTTCAAGGAATCTCTCACCCAGGACCCTTCCACACAGCTGAATAACACCCTACCCTGAACTGGGATATATGATTGTATGGACTCTGATAACCCAGAGCCCTTCCACACAGCCCTATATCCCAGGAAATCCCACGTTATCTGAGTGTGGACACAGGGCCCTTCCGCACAACCATATAACTCAGAATATCAAGGCAGAAAATCCTACGGTATTAGTATGATAGCTGAGTAAGGAATCTCTGAGCGTTATGCTGCTTATGCTTCACACCTTCAGGGGCGCTGTTTGTGCAACGCAGAATGGAACACGTAACCAAAACAACCCTACCCTAACCTTAACCCTAACCCTAACCCTGAATTTAACCCTAACCCTAAACCTTACCCTTACCCTACCCTTAACTCTAACCCTAACACTAACAATAACCCTAACCCTAAACCAGAGGCGGCCCTAGGTAATTTTCAATGGTAAGCAAACAGTATTTTGCCCCCCCCCCCCCAACCAATCACTGATATATATTTTCTGTTCGTCGTGGGAGTTCTGTGTGCCATATTTGGTTCAGTTCCATCATTGGTGGAGTTCAGAATGCTCTTTGATTGTAGGTGAACTATACATCCCAGTAACTACACTTGCCGCACTTGCTCCCTTGCCTGGCCCACTTTGGGTCCAGAGGCGTGCCTGAAGACCCCGGCGTGTGCACCAAAAGTCACCTCTTCTCCTGACTTTCTCCTCAGCCATTGGGACCAAGAGAGAGAGAGAGAGAGAGAGAGAGGTGGAGATGCCCACCTTTCCTGAAGGTAGGCGCAAAAACAAAGGAGGGAGCGGAGGTGGGAGATACCTCCAGCCGGAGGGGCTCTCTCTCTCTCTCTCTTGGTCCCAATGGCTGAAGAGAAAGTCAGGAGAAGAGGTGACTTTTGGTGCGCACGCTGGGGTCTTCAGACATGCCTCCAGACCCGAAGCGGGCCAGGCGGCGGCTCCACCCCTTGGCCCACCCGCGGATTGGGGAGAGGAGAGGAGGCGGGTGGAGCACCGGGGGATCGGGAAAGGGAGCCGGTCATGGGGAAGGGATCGAACACGGAGAACGATTGAGCACCGGCTCTGCTCGCGCACCCGGTGGCCAGGTGGAGCAGGAACAAGAGGGGCTAGGCGAGGCTCAAGGGCCCGGCCCCTTTGGGAAGAGGATCGCCTGGCAGCGAGGCAAGAAAGCCGAGGCTCCCCCCGGACTGCTAGGGCTGTTGTGAGCTGAGGGGGCGCTCCTCAAGTGGCGGTCGAGGGGCATTTACAGAGGCGCCTCTGCGCCCCTGGCAAAAAAAAGTGTTCTGTGACCGCTTACTTCGCGTAATGGACAAGCCGTCCCTGCCCTAAACCTAACTCTCGCCCTAGCCCTAACCCTAACCCTTACTCTACCCTAACCTTAACCTTAACCCTAACCCTAACCCTGAACCTAACCCTTACCCTAACCCTAATCCAAAACCTAACCCATATTTTACAGAGTCCTGGGGGGGGGGGGTCACCTCCGATATCAATATGTGTTCATCTTCCCTATAGAATGGATGCAGTTTGAAACAACTTTAACTGCTGTGGTTCAATGTTATGGAATCCTGGGAGGATTCCACAGTACTGAGCCCTGTGGTGTCAAACTGCATTACTTCTAAAGTGCAGGTGCACCCTCTAAATATAATGGAAGTACCCCATGCCTCCCCATGTGAAAGATCAGTTGCATGAAAGGGATGGGCCCATCAGCCAGCTGCTTTGTGAGCAACAGGAGGAAATATCCCCTAAGCTAGTGGCTATGTAGGGATCCTAAAAATGTCACTCTAGGGGTGCACTTATGCTAGAATTAATTCAGTTCGACACCACCTTAACTGCCGTGGAATCATGGGAGTTGCAGTTTGGTTCTCTTTGGCAGAGAAGTCTACAGGCCTTGTAAAACTACAACTCCCATAATTCCATAGCATTGAGCCATGTCTGTTAAAGTGGGACCAAACGGCATTAATTCTACAATGTGGATGTACCCCAGATTATGTGTTCATAGCTGCTAAACAAGATTCTGACTCCCCCCCTCTAAATTGTGTAATTCCTTGAGTAAATCTAAGTCCTTCTAAATTGCCAAAATCTTAACATTTTCAAAAATTAATAATTAGAAATTTGAAAACCCACAAAAATTAATATGCTGTGCCATTGAAACTGACAAATGGATATTCATGTTTGTGCATGTATGTGCTACCCAAGAAGGTAATTCCTATCAGGACAGTTGCAGTCTTTGCCCAGTGCCTAACAGCTGCACGGCAGAAAGAAATGAAACAGCTGTAGCTTTGCTCTTTAGGACAGGGCTGGAGAATGCTCGTAAGCTTCACCTGTGGGGCCTTTCAGCACCCCATCCCTGCAGCTGTTATAGACCCAACATTTCTGCCATAAGGACAAAAGAAACCATAGCAATGTTTGGGTTTTTTTTATCCAGCTGTCTTTGGTCATTCACAAGGACAATCAAGCCACACTGTTGCCTTTCAGCTGTAGTCTTCTTCTGTCTCAAAGGATTCCACTGTACTTCCAATTTAGTTAATCTGGCAAAAAAGTACCGTATCATCTTTGTTGCGTTTTCTGACTTCAAGATGCTTAAAGCCTGTTCAGTTGGGGTGGCCATGGTTGCACTACTAGAGATTGTGGGATTACATCTCCTATGAGGCATTGCCATTTGCTGCGTTGCTTATGATTGTTATGACATCTGAAGGGCTTCACGATTCCTATCTGTCACTTTGTGCCCTTTCACACTACATGGTTGATAGTACTTTAACTACCATAACTGCAGTCCACAAAATCTTGGGACTTGTAGTTTTGCAAAGCAATAAAGCTCTCTGGCCATGAATTCTGAGAGCTTTTATAGGGAAAACATTATGAAGGGGAGACAAAAGTATAATCCAAATAGGTGATTTACAATCCCAAATTAAAATATTTCTATCTCATGCATTGTATGGAGCTGTGGTGTATGGATCAGTGATGGTGCAATGTGGTGGTTAAACCCTTTTTGCTGCTGAACTGCTGACCTGAAGGTTAGCAGTTCGAATCCGTGATATGAGATGAGCTCCCATCTGTCAGCTCCAGCTCCTACCAACCTAACCACTCAAAAACCTGCAAATGTGAGTAGATAAATAGGTACCTCTTCGGCCAGAAAATACAAAGAGACACTCCAAGCAATCTTGCCGGCCACACAACTAGGAAGTGACAAGTGGCTTGAAAATGGAGTAAAGCACCTCCTCAGAGCCAGAGATAAGCACCACCTCCAGAAACCTGAAATGAAAGGAGAAGCCTCTGCCTTTGTGTGACTCATTCTATATGATTGTAAAAGGCATTGAATGTTTGCCTATGTATGTAAATGCTGTAATCTGCTCTGAGTCACCTAGAGGAGAAGGGCAGAATATAAATAAAGTGTGTTGTTGTTGTTGTTGTTGTTGTTGTTGTTGTAGTATAATTGAAGACAGCTTATAACCTTTGGAAATAAAAAAGGCCCTGTATGAGTCACAGTGGTACATGGGAATCATAATGTAATTGTATAGTGTGAAAGGGCCCCTTCATCAGCAATTAAATGGTAATACTGATCCAATGGCGGAACTGGGAAACAGGACTTTTCTTCCTCCACCCTGTAGCCCCCCATATTATCCTCCCCAAACCAGCTTTGGATGGGATTGGAAACCCTCCATGGAAGCAGGGAGGGATGTTGTGTATATGTGTATGTTTGTGTGTGGGGTTGTTTATCAAAGTAGCAAGTGTGATGTTGGATAAAGACAACATTCATATAATCAAATATTATACTTACCACAATATCTTAAATAGTAGCTCTGGGACAAAATCCACTTAAGATGTTGATAGATGCTGATAGAAAAATAGCATCTCCCTGCTTTACTTGCAATCTCCACTACTTGAAACTTTCCCATCCTAATTTGCCTCTCAAATTTGCACAGTGGGAAAACTGGATGACATTTGGAGTAGTTTTGTGGGTGTGTGGAAGTTACAGAAGTTACACACTCAACACCTTTGCAGAAGCATACGAGAAACTCAGACTCTCATTGAACATTGAAAAAAACAAAGTTCTCTTCCAGTAGTCACCAGTGAATCCCCCTCCAATGCCAGAAATACTGCTTAATACTCCTTAGAAAATGTTGACCATTTCCGCTACCTTGGCAGCGACCTCTCTACAAAAGTCAACATTGATACTGAAATACAACACTGCCCTAGCTCTGCAAGTGCAGTATTTTTCCAAATGAAGTGGAGAGTATTTGAGGAGATCCGTAGGGATACCGAGGTGCTTGTTTATAAAGCTATTGCCCTCCCAACCCTGTTATATGCCTGTGAAATGTGGAATGTCTACAGACATCACATGCAACTCCTGGAAATGATTCCATCAGCATCGCCTCTGAAAAATCCTGCAAATCTCTTGGGAAATACAGGCATTCAAACGTTAGCATGCTGGAAGAAGCAAAAACCACCAGCGCTGAAGCGATGCTCCTATGACATCAACTCCGCTGGACTGGCCACATTATCCGAATGCCCAGTCACCGTCTCCCAAAGTAGTTACTATACTCCCAACTCAAGAATGGAAAATGTAATGTTGGAGGAAAGGAAAAGAGATTTAAAGATGGGCTTAAAGCTAACCTTAAAAACTGTGCCATAGATAGTTAAGGTTTTCAGAAGAGGCTCCTCACTCCATTCACAA